GCGTTGGGGTTCCTAATTACCCTACACACCGCAACTCTGGTTCCCCCCCCCCCCTAGAGTATCCTACACACCCGCGTGGGTCCTAGAGTACCCGTACACACCCAGGCGTAGGGCCCGTGTGGAGTCAGATTCGGTGGCGGTGACGTGCACACACCCCGGCGTGGGGTCCTAGAGTACCCGTACACACCCCGGCGTTGGGTCCTAGATTGTCCGTACACACCCAGGCGTGGGGCCCGGTGTGGAGTCAGATTCGGTGGCGGTGACGCGCACACACCCCGGCGTGGGGTCCTAGAGTACCCGTACACACCCAGGCGTTGGGTCCTAGAGTACCCGTACACACTCAGGTGTGGGGCCACCGTGTGGAGTCAGACCCGGCAGCGGCGACCCACTACGGCCGCGGTAATGTCCGCCTAGCGCTCCAATAAAAACGGTGTAACGACGCGCCTCTCGCTCCCTTTTTAGAATTGCCCTGTAAGAAAACATGTCAAAAGATCAATCAACGAGCACTTCGCCGTAACAAATCGTGATGGCAAATTGGTTCACTCCGCTCTGTCTTCATATAACGGGTCAATTTACACCAACCGCTGATAAATGCGATCAAGAAGCGGATGATGGTTTCTTGACCCAAACGGACGCACACCGCTGGCAGCGTGCACCAGCGTATCACATCCTTCCCCACCTCATGTAACGCGCTCGGGGACCACGAACCGGGCCCGTGCTGCTGATCCTCCCAGAGTCAGCGCCTGGCGCCGCCACTGTTGTGACTGGCGCGTGCCGCCCTCACTGCGTGAGTGAGCCTGTCAACAGATGGCGCTGGGAGAGACGCGCCGATTCAGCGTCACGTTTTGCTGATTGCAACGACCTTGGCGCGAGTGGAGAAGGTTTTCCGGCGGTCCTCCCGACCGCTAAAGAACAGTCTGAGCCTCCGTCACCGTGGGCTTGTTACAGGCTCGAGCTATTGTTAGCTGACACTAGGGCGGCATACTTTTCTGAGCAAACAGGTCGCTGGCCAGTACAGCACAATGGTTGCAGATAGACAGGCATTGGACATTTTTACATTCTTTCTATCTCTCTCCTTAATTTTTGAAGAAAACTCAATCATATATAGCCTGAAACTTGGATGTCACTTGCAAGGTACATCGTTTTGAGTTTTTGTGTGTAACTGTGGCAAAGTGGATATATTTATGTGAATATTGCTGAGAAACCTCTTGTAAGGAGCCACGTGGAGTTAAATGGCGTCGGTCTACTCCTCCCGCTGCGCTGTCGCCGTCAGTTTCGAGACGCTGAACGAACCCTCGGCGACTGGCACTGTCGGCATTGGGTGTGTGCTGACCCACCAACCCGTCATGTAACGATGTCCATTTAAAGGACCGCAGGGCACGCAGGCTCAGCCCGTCAGCGGGCAAACACGGCACGATGACACTGACAGATAGCCATAGGCCGCTGAAGAGATTTCGCACAATAAAGCTCCTCCTGCTGAATAATTCACACATTGTAGCAAGGGTGTGCGTAAACTTGTTCAGATTTCTCGGAGCTATTTTCCAAGTCAGGCCGTTGGTTTCGTGCGTTGGCGCCGTGCGCTTTGGCGCAGTAATTCCTCACAATCACCAAACCGGCCGATGAGTCAGCCGTGTCGAATGCGGATGAGCGCCGCCATTGAGAAAGATGCTCCTGCGAACTGTGACCGACCAATCCAGCACGAGTGACATGTGCGCTGGTCATGCATCGCGGATAGGTTATCAACGTCCTCCGCTCGCTTTTGACTTATGCTTGGCTTTCTCAACCATCGTTTTCGCGTTACAGGGCACGCTGTTCAACATGTTCACCATCGGACCTCTCCTGTACGGCCTGGCCAAGCTGGGTGCCATGGGCTCCAGCATGTTCCCGGCCTACGCCAACTACGACATCGCCAACATCAGGTCAGTGGCGCCGGCACCTAGGGCCACCGAGGCTATACTACGCTGAGGTGTCTGCGGAGCCGAACCCCCGGGTCCTGACCGGGTGCCGGTGGCTACGCCAACACGATACCTATGATGGCTTGGTAATGGCTGCTGGCTGTCATTTAGCGCATTCTCGGCCTCCATCAAAGAGCGCATTGACGTCATGTCCCGTCATGCCTGCTTTGTACGTTTTGACCTAAAACCGTTGGGTTCCGGATTCCTGTCCTCCATTGTTTACAGTGCTTGCGGTTTAATCTGTTTCTTCAGGGCTTCAGCAGTGCCACGTGTATCAAATGAATGTTCGCCTCTTTAAAAAAACAGGCATGCATTATGCATGTAAATTATTAGACATTACGTCGGCGCATCCGTAGCGTTTGTAGTGTGTAAATTGCCCAGGTCATTATGAAAATGTTATCACTACTGGGACATTCTGATTCTGGAAACAATAAGATTGTAAAAATGTGTTCGAGTGGCTGCTAACACCACCTTATGAGCCTTCGACACCATTTATTTTTCGCCGCCAGACTTCTCCTGCCAAAATGCATTCTTGGTTTACATGATATTTGCCCTCTGGAATAGAGCAATGGCTAATAACTATGCTTGTGATAGAAGCCGTTTGTGGCAAAAAAAAAAATCATTGGGGAAGGTAATACAGGTAGTGTAAGCAACGCCGTTGCTCAGCGCAAAACACACTCAGCGCCACAGCCAACCGAGGCGGTATTCACCACTGCGGCAATGCAGTCGCCGTCCCAATTCCGTGGCGCCGCAGTAGGTCACCCCGTACCGCACCGCCCCCTCACCAGCCGGTACATTTGTCTGCCGTGTCGCCGCTAGCCCCCTGCCGAGGGCCGGCCGGCCGTCACGGTCACCAGCGGCTCGCAGCGGGGCCACTGTGGCCGGCCAGCCCGCGCGGCCGCGGCCAGCGCTCAAGGGATTAGGCGGGTCCGCGTGCTGGCCAAGCCACGGGCCGCCGCCGGGGCCTTAAGCCGGCGACCGCCTCACCACCAGCCGGGCACTGGCTGTACTGAGCCCTGCCGCTCGTACCGCTGCCCTGGGAACCACGTGCGGAGGTGTTCGGAGGGACATGGCTGGCAGGGCGGGTGGTTCGTAAGCGGATTACGCTGCGGCACCTAGCGCACCGATCTACGCAAATACATCGGCCGCTTTAAAAAAAAAAAAAATGACGGTGCGAAGAAGCCGGGACCCAGAGGCACACAAGCTCATGCGTGCAAACAATCGAATATTTCACCAGCTCCTGTAGCTGGGGTCAGACGAATGGCTCGCATGTCGCTGGTCATCAAGGGCGTTTGAGCCAAGACAGGTCAGCACCAAACCCAGACAGCGCACAGAGGAGATGCTTAGTCTAATTGGGCTTCAAAGAGCACTAGAATTTTAGTTGTTTTGCTCAGAGCATATGGGGAGATGCTTTTGGCAATTGCTTACAATTGCTGGCTGCGCAATCTAACGCGTCATCAAAACAGGTGATGCATGCAGAGAAGAAAATGCATGGGTTGGAGGAATTTGGATGGTTTTTATGTGTCTTTAACAGCACCGTGAAAAATCAGTGGCGACAGCTTTCTGTTTTGTCTTTGCTATATGTCTTTGACAGCTCTGTTAAAACTATCCTTCTCCCGTGATAACGGGACTACACATTCTTAATGGCCGCCTCAATTACTCCGGATTCCCAGAGCTTGCATTATCCAGCATTAATACATAATCAATATGCAGGCTACACCGCTAATTTCGTTTGGCTGAGAGGCGTCCCTGGCGCCACTGCGGCGTTTGCTTCGGAAGCGTTTCTGGCGCCACTGCGACGGGCCGAGTGTGGGGCCTCGAGTGCCTTCGGACATTCTGTGCTGAATGCCTGTGAACATCTCCTAGATAATGGAACAAGCTTAACACTCCCATGGCGGTGATGTGTTGTGTGAGCCGAGCATGCTTACAGTCGCGGTCCGTGGTTCAGGTGCTACGCATGCTTACAGTCGCGGTCCGTGGCTCTGGTGCTACGCCTGCTTACAATCGCGGTCCGGGGCTCTGGTGCCACGACTGCTTACAATCGCGGTCCGTGGCCCAGGTGCTACGCCTGCTTACAATCGCGGTCCGTGGATCAGGTGCTACGCCTGCTTACAGTCGCGATCCGTGGTTCAGGTGCTACGCCTGCTTACAGTCGCGGTCCGTGGCTCAGGTGCTACGCCTGCTTACAATCGCGGTCCGTGGTTCAGGTGCTACGCCTGCTTACAGTCGCGGGTCCGTGGTTCAGGTGCTACGCCTGCTTACAGTCGCGGTCCGTGGCCCAGGTGCTACGCCTGCTTACAATCGCGGTCCGTGGCTCAGGTGCCACGCCTGCTTACAATCGCGGTCCGTGGCTCAGGTGCTACGCCTGCTTACAGTCGCGGTCCGTGGTTCAGGTGCTACGCCTGCTTACAGTCGCGGTCCGTGGCCCAGGTGCTACGCCTGCTTACAGTCGCGGTCCGTGGCCCAGGTGCTACGCCTGCTTACTATCGCGGTCCGTGGTTCAGGTGCTACGCCTGCTTACAGTCGCGGTCCGTGGCTCAGGCGCTACGCCTGCTTACAGTCGCGGTCCGTGGTTCAGGTGCTTCGTCTCCTGCAGCAAACTGACTGCTCAACCCTTTGAGCTTCTTTGCCAATTCGAATGACGTCAGTAAGCTACCAAAGCCACCCACGTATTCAGTAAGCTGTCTCGTTTATGAGGACTGGCCACCTGCTGGGTGCACCGGGCAACACGCGATGTATCCCCACAAGCTGCTCCACGCATTCAGATTCCTTTAGCTCTCACGCGTCTTGGGTTTTACGTCTTTTGCAATGAGGATGCAAACAGTAACGCCGTGGCTTGCTACCGCAGTTTGGTGCAGATGCTGACCTTCTCGTCGCTGATCGTGGCGGTGGATCCTGTGGCCGTGCTGGCCATCTTCCAGGAGGTCGGCGTCAACAAGGACCTCTACTTCCTCGTGTTCGGGGAGAGTCTGCTGAACGGTCAGTGGCAGGAGACGGCGAAATATCGACACTATAACATCATGACTTGTGTTGCCATTGGAAAAGTGGATGATGCTGGGAAATGTAGATCATAATACTATTCTAGGAACAAAAGACTTGTGTCGAATGTTTTCATAAGCCCATGCTTGTGGTTGTCCATCTGGAACAGATGTGGTCATTTTCTGTTTGAGTAATACATCGCATCTCCTTTGAGCGAGAACACCACAATCTCAACAATTATGAGTATCGCATGTGCCGACGACCACCGCGCAAGCGTAATGCTCCCCATACTAATAGATGACAAGCATTCTTTCATATCTCTAATTGATGTCCAGATTACACTTTTATACAACACGTGAAATTCGTCTTCGATGGTGGTTAAGGAAAGATTCTCGATGCGACTTATTTCAAAATTAGTTTTTGTGAAGGAGACCAGCTAGCGGAGCTATGCTGATAATACACGCGCAAAGAACAGCATCGATCCCGCGGCTGGAGCTGCAGCGGCCCTGGTGCGTGAAGCTGCAGCGGCCTGTTACCGCCTGTCCACAGACGCCGTCACGGTGGTGCTCTACAACGCGATGGTGGCATTCGCCGGTCAGGATGGCGAGGTCATCACCTACGACCAGCTACTGCTAGCCGTGGCCGCCTTTTTCTGCGTGTCGCTGGGCGGCCTGACCATCGGCATCATCTTCGGCGTGCTCACCGCCATCATCACCAAGCACACGTCCGAGCTCCCCGGTGAGACGACCGGCCTCACACGCAGTCCGATGTCGTGCCTGGCCGGAGGGTCAGACAAGCGGGACGCGTAAGAGGCCCCGGCCGCTGGCGCGAGGACCGTCTCGTTGACACGCAGCCTCCCCCTCCCCCCCCCCTCCCTGAATTCTAGCGAGGCACGGCGCAATTTTTCGTATGATCTTCGCGATCAGCTGATGACAGGACTTATTGGCCTACGCCAAAGACTTCGCCGAGGCCTGTCAACCTGAAAAGAGTTGGTACGATGCAGATTTATCCCGGTCCCATTAACCGGCCTCATACGTCCAAATTACAGTAAAATTCCGTTTGTAATAATACCCAAGCGCATGCCACGGACGAGGTAACCGCACAGACACGCTCGCGCGCTCCACTCTCTCAGCGTAGTACGACATTGATGACAACACTGCTGACGACATTGAGCGATGCATTCACATTGCGTTAGCCTTGACCGTCACGTCCTGCCGGTGTCCGGCCAAAAAAGTATGACCTTCTGAGGATGTGAACCTGCTGACAAGTCACGTGACATTGTACGCCCGGGGACGCCGGACCTTCGGCGACAGACCACCGGACGTGTGTGGTGACCGGATGACCGGACGTGCGTGGTGACAGACCATCGGACGTGTGTGGTGACCAGAGTGTGTGGTGACGGTTGTGAGCGACAGAGATGCCGCATCGTAAAGCGCAGCGGTGGTTCTATGACAGATTCATAGAGGACAGGCTCACTCCGAAGGGCTTAGGCTAGTGAAAAAGCCACGGCATTTGTGGCACCGCCTATCGGGTCGCGCCTCCGATGCTCAGCACGGCCTCTAAGTCCCGGGCATCTGGCACTAACTAGCCCGGCCGATGACGTCAGCCTGCAGACCGCACCCGGCCTGCTGCACACTTTGGGTTCCTAGACCCATGACCGGCTGAAGGCCATTCCTGTGCAGTGGCTTTCGGCTGCTAGACGCGGAGGGTGACCGTTGGGGAACACACGCGAGACGAGTCCTCTGCATCTCATCCGATTTCATGCTGGTTGGCCCAACAACATGTTTACTTTTGCTTCAATGATAAAATGCTCCTCCGGCAGGCAAGCTGTCCGCAAGGTTGTCGAAGCAAAACGCTTGGCTCAAAGAAACAAAAACGCAGCCTTCACGGCTAATACATCTTGCCTGCCACTGGCATCGCACCAGAGGGGCGTCAAACCACTCCTGCTGTCAGGGCGAGCCAGGGTCACCGGGGTCATGTCGTACCTGTCGACCAGTCGACATTGAAGGGGAGGGCGCCCAAATACGGTTACGGACGTCACTGGCCAGCGTCGTGACAGTCGTGGCGTCAACTGTGACGCAGACCTCAAGCCACCTACGTCAGCTCCGTCTGCCCTCGCAGAACACGTGACGCAGCTGTGGGGCCAGGCTGCTGGTGATGTTGAGCCAGCAGACTTGAGCACCAGAGACTGGGTGTCACCTGTGTGAGAGTCGGTCACGGGGGGCCGAACCGTGTGGCGGATAACCAATGGGACGACGCACGGTGAACTGAAGCGGAGCGAACAGTATGAGCGGACGTGACCTTAACGCCATTGCCCAGTCGCTAGCCGTGGACAGCGGCATGCGCCGCTGCAAGGGCTTTACTGGCATACAATACTCGCTGAAGGAGTGTTTTGTCGCTCCGTGACGCAGTGGGTGGAGGACGTGACGCGTGACAGAAGGCTCCCTGCGGAGCATGCCTACAGTGGGCCCTTATCAGGTCACGCGTGGCTGAAAGGTCGTGGTGGGAGGTGGGTGGACCTGCACCCATCTGACGGCCTTCCCCACTCCTGGTTGACGGAAATCACTGCAATCAGCAGAGAACCAAGTCCGCATGGTTGCCAAGGATACAGGATGATTTTCCGTCAGATTACGTGCAGCAGCCATGTCGAGTGTAAGGGATTACGTCGTTGAGTGCTGTCGTTTTTTCAGTGGTGGAGCCGCTATCTCTGCTGGCACTGTCGTACCTGGCCTACCTCTCAGCGGAGCTGGTCCACTTCTCCGGCATCATAGCCACTGTCGGCTGTGGAGTGGTTCAAGCACACTATGCCACCAAGAACATCTCCAAGAACTCATACATTACCATCAAGTATTTCGTCAGCATGGCTAGGTGCCACACTACTTTTTTATATCTCATTCTAGCAATATGCTTTTGCTTAGTAGGTATTAGAAACATTAAAGCGTGTTTAAAACTGAGCAGCGCAAGTCAGGAGCTGCTTCGCTTGAACTGAGGATGCTCAAGTGAAATCCATATCCGTTGCCACAAAAGGCGCCGTTTCACGGCGTGCCCAACGGGCCGAAAAGAGTAGCTGTACGGTCAGCATCACCGTCTGAGCCCAGTCTCCGCCGGCAGCTCCACCAGCGACACCATCATCTTCATGTTCCTGGGGATGGTGCTCATCAGTGACGACCACCGCTGGCACACGGGCTTCTGCCTCTGGACCCTGGTGCTGTGCCTAGTCTTCCGATTCATCGGTAAGTTTGTGCGCGTCTTCCCAATTCGTCGTAGTCTGTACCGCGTCTTCCGATTCGTCGGTGGATTTGTGACGTGGTATTCCGGTTCGTCGGAAGTTCCGCGCTCCAGTTCCGCGCAACGCTGCAGTGTCGCTGAGTGCCCTGGCTATAATGGTGCTCTCCCACTGCTTACAAGCCGTCTCTGATGTCTCTGCTGGCCGCTGAGAACCGCACTTGCTCTCTTTGCACCGCGCCTTTGTGCCTCTGACCGTCGTACATGTCTTCGGTTTAGTCGGATCGGGAGACGATATCTCAGTGGCCGCTTCCTGTTTGATATATGTATATATATATATATACTATATTATATATATATATATATATATATACCTGCATGTGTGTGCGTGCGTTACTTCACCGCCTCGAAATCCTAAAGCACACATCACGCACCAACTCCCCTTGGTCGTCTTGTTGCTTGCAACTACACGAACTAATTTATACTTTCGAAACACACATTCCCATTGAATGGCTAACTCAACGTTTCTGAAGAGGCCTGAAGCTCCTGCGAGACTTTGTCGCTACCTGTATGACATCATCAAAACGTGTTGTGACACTGGCTGTCGTCCGGCAGGCGTTGTACCTCCTCACAGCGCTGGCGAACCGAAACCGGATGAACCGCATCGGTCGGAAGGAGCAGTTCATCATGGCGTACGGGGGCTTGCGCGGGCGCCGTCGGCTTCTCGCTGGTGGTCATGCTGGGCGATTGACGTCATAGACAAGGAGACGGCCCAGGTGTTCGTCACCTGCACGCTCTTCATCGTCCTCTTCACCGTGTTTCGTGCAGGTGCGGTTGCGGTTGAAGGGGTGTGCGTAGTTGTATATGGCTTCCGGACTGGTCCCGCTGATTGGTCGCAAGCGATCCGTTGAACCGCCGCGGCTTCTGCGCGTGTTTGTGCCGGAAACCCGGGCTAACTGTGGCGTCCGCTGCTGTCAGGGGTCTACCATCAAAGTTCTCGTCAACATATTCCGCATCACAACTGGACGAGAACGAGGAGGAAAACCTTGGCGGAGGAGATTGTAACGTCTTCGCTTGACCACATTGCCGAGGGCATTGAAGAAATGTCGGCTTTGGAGGCTTGAATCGATTGAAGGTGAGAGGCAAAATGGCATCGCGAGTAGCTTGATTTATTTGAAAGTAGATGCGTTATCGAATGGCCAGACTCGGTGCTTTAGTGGTTGTTGAAGGGATTGTGTTTGACAGCATCTTTGCGCGAAACTGACTGCAATCCCAAACCACTGTTGCGTAATGTTGATTTATAATCTACTTCCTGATGCTTTGATTTTAATTCGCTGTTGCGTTAATTCCAACTTGTGCTTACTTGTGTTGCTTTACAAAACCGATTTTGACATGCTTTCTTGAAACCTGCGTTGACTAGCGGGCCAGCACCAAGACAGACCGTTTGGCTTCATGTACAACTCCGCCTGCCCTAGCTCTAAACCGATATCAAAACAATCCGCGCAAATAGTTTCAGCCACACGTCACATACCTGACGCGCCAGCTATGGTGGTGGGACGTGTTGTTCGATGCTGGATGCGCACTCGGGCAATACAAAGCCAAGCAAGCCCCACGAGGGAAGCCTCGCGAGAAGCTCATTTCACGTCGCGGATTTCCGACGCGTTTCACGCGGCATTTATCGGCGGCAGGAGCGGCTGGAAACGTTTGACGAGAACTACCTGACGCCGTGGCTGGTGCACACGGCACCAATGTCGGCTCTGGCGCGGCTCTACGACAAGCTGGTGCTGGACGAACACTACGCCAACTGTACGGCCCGGCCGCCGTGCTGGAGACGCAGAAGGACTACGACACCAACTCCGTAGTGTCCTCGCTGCCTGCGTACCCCTCGCTTGGCCACAGAGACGTGAGAATTGGTGTGACGTGGTGTCTGTCGACCCCCCCTGGACTGTGTACTGTTGCAGGCTTTGGGCTGGTGCAACAGGAATCTTATTGGGGCATGCAGCCTACCTCTTCTATCCGAGGAGAACTTAGCTATTGATGTAATTAAGCCAACGTTAAGCTCGCGATTGGTCGAGGAATGGTTGAGGTGGCGAATAAACCTCCCGTCAACGCGCCTAGCCCCAGTTGTGCGGGTGTGTTCTGCCGCTGAGCACCTCTCCTGACGCGTCCCATCCCCGCCTCCCTCAGCGAGCGGGCTCTATTTTGCCGGAGGATCTGCCTCTGGAGATCGAGCCAGGCTGGATGAGGCGCAAGTCCATGTGAGCTCGCACACGTCAACATCGCCCGCCGGCTTGTCGTCTGCGCCAACCTGCCGCCTGCTGCCAGAGGACGAGCTTGGTGGTCACGGGTTCACGGTCAGACGAGGAGCTGGCGAGTCACGGGTCACGGTCAGACGAGCAGCTGGCAGTCACGGGTCACGGTCAAGACGAGCAGCTGGTGAGTCACGGGTCACGGTCAGACGAGCAGCTGGCGAGTCACGGGTCACGGTCAGACGAGGAGATGGCGAGTCACGGGTCACGGTCAGACGAGCAGCTGGTGAGTCACGGGCCACGGTCAGACGAGCAGCTGGCGAGTCATGAGTCCACCGCCGCCCGAGGACTAACCGGAGGTGCTCGTCCAATGCGCACTGTTCATGCCTCAAAGCTGTTTGTGTGACCTGGCCGACTTCTGCATGTGACCCAGCCAACCCCTGTATACATGCCGCTCAGCTGACCTCTCCGCCGCGCGCGGTGCCGGCAGAACTGGCTGCGTCGGATCTCGACCGCCTCGCCGGAGCTGCCGATGGCGCGCCCGTCGCTGAGCGACGCCCGCCGACCGTCGCTGCTGCCGCACGACGGGCGCCGCTCCTCGACGCTGCCCTCCGACGGCAGGCTGGGCGCGCTGGCGCCGCCAGCCGCGCACACCGGCCGACGCACCTCTATCGTCGACGGGCTCAAGACCAGCCTGGCGCGACGGCTCTCCGTGTTCGGCGCCACCGTGCAAGACCAGAAGTACGGGGGCTTGGTGGCGGACGGACGGGACGGGGTGGGGTGGCGCGCCGTGTTTTGTGTGGGTGGTTTGTGCGTGTGTTGATGTTACGTCCGTCCGCAGTTATGCCTGTCGACGAAGTCTGAACTCAATGTATGACTGTTCTAATGAGAACGATGCACAGGGTGGTGGTGATCTGAACTCAAGGTATGAATGTTCTAATGAGAACGATGCACATAGTGGTGGTAATCTGAACTCAAGGTATGACTGTTCTAATGAGATCGATGCACAAAGTGGCGGTAATCTGAACTCAAGGTATGACTGTTGGCCTTCTGGACTTCTGGAGGCCGTCAGGCTGCCCACCACTGACTGCCGCACCCTCGCCACCCACACAGAGATCATGATGAGGAGGTGGGCGGGCGGCGCGACTCTGTCTTCCTGCGGCCGACATCACCGCAGAGCGACGCCCAGCTGTTGCGACACGCCATTCGAGACAACCCCTTCAACAAGGTGAGGACGGCTGGCACGTGCCGGAGACGCCACCCACCACCGGAAACATCGGGCTCGCCAATACCCGAGTGGCTGCGGCGGATGTTAGAGGAACTGACAGGTCAAGTGCATGAGCCTGACGCGCTACCGCTGCTCTAGGAAAAGTGCCCTTTGCCTTGACATTACCGTTATGCAAAAGCTCGGTAGACTTTAAAACGGTCTCAGCAAGCTGCATGAGCCCACTTTCCGTGATAAGCTTGAATATTACGACATTGTCGCCGTGGCGACGGTAGACACCACAGACTACACCAGTGGGACGAAATCTAACCAGTCGTGAGAAGATCCGCCTGGAACTACAAAGCTAATTACGTGGCAGCTTGTCAGCTGGGCTGTCGCGGCGTGTCTAGCGGCGTGTGAGGCGCACGGGGACTCACCGAACGACCGACAGGCGCGCGCCAGACGGCTCCCTCACCTTCTGCTGTCTCTGTGGAGACCAAACAATCATTAGCTTATCTCCGAGGTGCTCCACGCTGCAGCTCAGCCCACGCCATGGGCACGGCGGTGCTCGCACTGACTGACCGCTGGCGTCCTGCTTGCTGGTCATTAAGTCGCCAGTGTCATTGGCCAAAGGGTAGTGTAATCACCTGCTGGATTTGTCGCTTGCCGTTGCCGGGCTGCGACTGACCCCCCCCCCCCCCTTCCTCTGCCCCGCCCCCGGCCAGCTACACTTCCGCTACACACCCGTGACCCTGATCGCACGAGGAGGACCAAGAAGTGAGTCGCACCTGCGGCGGCGGCGCATGAACGCGCGCCGCATGTCCCAGATGGTGATGCTGCCGCCGACGGCGCGACCATGCTGGCCGGGCTGGCCGAGCAGGGCGAGAGCTCCGCGCAGGATTCGCCGCTCTCGCGGGCGAGCACGCGCCGTCAGTCGCACCGCATCCGCCGCTCGCTGAAGGAGACGCCGCCGGCGCGCAGCCGCAGCAACTCACTCCAGGTGAACGGTGGCCGGAGGGTGGGGTGGGTCATGGGACATGGCGCAGCGGGGGCCGTGCACCTTGACGGTCATGTGCGCGGGAGTGTCGTCTGCGCGTGTCTCTTAGTGATTCAGTATCATCGCATGAAGGCTTGTAACGCGGCATTGTGCTCAACACAAGCGTTAAGTGTTGTTACATGGAGGGGAGTGAAAGGCGCTTCATTCTCTGGCTGAATGATGAAGATCGTTGAGGAAACTTGTGGCCATCTGGGCTGGGTGCAACCACTCCGTGGTGGCCACTGGCACCTGGTGAGGAACGAGGACTCATCCTGACACGGGATACCATGCCGTTTCATGATAAGACACGTCACACATCCACGATTACATAATGCAGATGAGAATGACGGTGACTCGTGGTACTGAAATATCTTGCAGTTGGGTTCATACTGTGAGGGACAAACATTACATGCAACGGTAATATTTGTGTTCTCACGAATCCATGACAAGGTTTTTTCCACAAAATTCCTCGTGAAACGCTACGGGTTGTAGATTTGGGGGCCGGAAATTATGCCAAGTAACCCCACGCCTCTCCGCAGCCCTCGCATCTTCAGAACGGTAACCAGCCGCCAGCCTTCGGAACGACCGCCCACAAGGTGCGCTCCGCCTGCCGTTCAGGCTCGTGACAGGCAGCAGCGCTCACTGCCGCCTTCGGCACGTCGGCTGCCAGTCAGCCGGCTTGCTCTGGTGGCTTACATATGTTAATGGGCCGCTTACGTGTGTGCGCAGCCAGAGAAGATAGGCGCCGTCAATGTCCGGTCAGCACCGAGCTAGTCTCTGCATTTTGATGCCGGCGTTGTTACTGTTATCGCAGGATCTCGAGGTCTTTGCACCTCCGTGTACGTCGGTGCCGTGTTTGACCGTACGCAGAGCTGCATGCATTATAGCCGGCACGAGCGCGGCGTTCAGCTGGCCAAGTCTGAGTGGAGAAACCCATCCTTGTGATGTTAGCAATGGAAATTTACCCGGTGTCGCATGTGTTAATAATACCTGCTTAGTGGCCACGGCGCCACCCGTGCTGGTTCCAAGCAATGAGCAATGTAATTGTTTTCCAAGCAGCGGAGGGGCGAGCATGGCCATTTTCGGTTATTTCTGTCCAGTCAGCGTCTATGAGGCCAACGCTAGATTCTCAGAAAGATAGGAGGGGGGGGGGGGGGGGCTCAGCCCCTCTGGCCGCTTAGCTCCTGCGCCCCTGTCCCGGGCCGTCTGCGCTGGCCTGTGACCACCTGGGATGACTTTTGACTGCGCCTGCTGAACCCTGACCGCCCGTGCTGACCCCTGACCGCCCGTGCTGAATCCTGTCCGCGGTTGCCGGCAGGCCTGGGTGGCCCCGTCGTTTGGCGGCGGCTCCTCATCGGCAGAGCCGGCGCGCGACGCTGAGCGCGGCGGCCACACCAACCCCACATTCGTCATCACCGAGGAGTCAGACTTCGAGTCGGAGACGGCCACGCCGCCGGTTCTCGGAGGTGTCGTCGGGCCGGCGGACGGGCGCCTCCAGCCCGCGGCGCTCCTCCGCCGAATCTCGCGGCTCGCCGACCGCGCACGACCGTCGCCGCGCGCCGGCATCGACGCATATGTCGCCAGCCACGTCACCGGTGGGCGCACTACCGGCGCAGGTCCCCGCGCGGGTCGCCCGGGTCGACGAGGGCGTCGCGGGCGCCGCGGGACCGCTCCCGGTCGCCGCAGGGGTCGCAGGGATCGCCGCAGACGCCGCGGACGCCGCAGGAGGAGCGCCAGGCGCCGGGGCTGCGCGGCGCGCAGGGCAGCGGCCGGAGCTCGCCAGATTCGACCGTCTCGGCGCCGCTGCCGCTGCGACCGGTGCCGACCATCTCGGTCACGGCGGACGAAGAGGAGCCGGCGTCGTCGGCCGTGACGGAGGAGAGTCCGCCCGACGACACGCCAGAGGTCTGCGTCAGTAAACTCTGAGGTGGGTCAGACGCGGCAGCCGGCGAACTGTGGCGCGGCGAACAGCCGCGCCAACACGGCGCCAGATTCGTGACACTCGTGGATGAGTGACGCGGTGGCGTGACGCCCACTTAGGCGCAAATAGCCGAGGCGGCGGGGGCACCAACACCAACTCCATCGACTCGGCAGTTCCTATGCAGTCTGACGAGCTTGACGGCCACGAAACTAGCGGCGGAGGTAGGAGGTGAGAATGGTACTCACACTCCCTCCACTGCTGAAGCTCAGTGTTGCCCGTCGCAGACCACGAGCTGGAAGTTTTCAAAGGAGAAGACCCGCATCCACTACGGCCTATTGCTCAAGCGTATGACACAGGCAAGCTGGAGCCGCGTGCCTGACTGCCACGCCGGCTCCTCCGTGCCGGTCAGGAATGGATACGCTTCGGACTTTCCCGATGACACCGAGGCAAGAGCACTCTCCGCTCTGCAGCGTCACGCAGCCGGGACTGTCGCCTTCCGGGAGACGCCGTTCCCAGGCAGTGGTGGTAGAGCGGCGCCGGCCGCTGGCGCCGGCCTGCGGCGCGGTCCGCTGTAGTCGCACACCTCGTGGTCTGGTCCGGTATGGCCTGGTCCAGTATGGCCTGGTCCGGTATGGTCTGGTCCGGTATGGCCTGGTCCGGTATGGCCTGGTCTGGTATGGCCTGGTCCTGTATGACCTGGTCCTGTATGGCCTGGTCCTGTATGGCCTGGTCCGGTATGGCTTGATCTAGTATGGCCTGGTCCGGTATGGAGTGGTTTGGTATGGCTTGGTCCGATATAACCTGGTCCGGTGTGGCGTGGTCCGGTATGGCGTGGTCCGGTATGGCGTGGTCCGGTATGGCGTGGTCCGGTATGGCGTGATCCGGTATGGTCTGGTCCGGTATGGTCTGGTCCGGTATGGTCTGGTCCGGTATGGTCTGGTCCGGTATGGCGTGCCGTGGTTCAGCGTATACTGGCATTTGCGGTCGGCTAGGTCGCGGCCGCGCCGGCTCTGCCTCCGCCATCAGTGTTGCCTGCGAACTAGTGCTCGGCCGTTGCTGGACAAGAGGGGAAGGCGTTACGAAGGGGAGGGGAGAGGGGTGGTCTGGTTGACAATGTAGGCTGATGGTGTGTTATAAATCCGAGTGCATGACGGAAACTGTTGAACTCAGGTGCATCCCGAGTTTTGCCAAATTGGTTGTGGCGACTTTCGACTGATGCTCCGAAGTTGAGATGTGTCTGTTTTTCTAGGAGTCGCTCATTTTTAAATGTTTTACTCTGCAGTTTAAGTGTGCTTATCAGCGTCCCAGCCGCAAAGGGATTCAAGACTGTTTTTCATTCGATGCGCCGTTTCATCAGGACCAGTCGATGGTGTAGTGCTGTAGCGTGATCCCAATCCGGCCTGTTTCACTCTCGAAACGAATGTATACATGTCTGACCTTGCAGCTGTCGGGCTCGAAACGTGCGTCTAAGCCGTGCGCAATTTACGTGTCCGTGCGCTGGCAAGCTAAGCGTTTGTATCCGCCCACTCATCGATGCAAATGGCTGAATACTAATACACGGACAACTGAAGCAAGGCAGCATCGCCGCTCGTTCCTTTCTTGTGGCTCCTTCTCTGATGACGGGAGACCATGTCTGCCTGTGTCTCCACGCTCCCGGCGCCAGTCAGCGCCCCTGGCGGCCGCTCAGTGATTCGCGGCTGATCCTGGACTGATACGACATCTCCGGTGCTCCGGGCGTTCGCTGTCGGAATCACGGGACGTCCCACACCGCTGTTGCTGAGGTGGCGCCACAAGCGGCCGTCTAGGTGGCGCTGTCGGCGGGTCAAACCGCGGAGGCCGACCGCTGCCACACAGAACTAAACCTCAAAGTTCTCCGTGATTAAAACGACCGGATGATGCCGCCACTGTTTATTTCATGTGATCGGGACCGATCAATGATCGTCTCGGGCTGAGCGCCCGGTGTGAGATCCGGCTTACTTCAGCTGAGCCAGCGCCTGGTCACCCAATCTCCACAAAGCCTGCCCCGAGGGTGCGACCGGCACGCTGTCGGCGCCGCTCGGAGCCGCCGTGCGAAGCTGACGCCTCTGCTGACGCCCTGTCAGCGGGACCATCCACTGACTGACCACGATGACGTCACTGGCCCGTGATGACGTCATCGGCCGGCAGGCGTGCAGCGCGCCGCTGGCCGGCCGCCAAGGGGTGCTTCGGTCGATGACCGACCCGGCCCCTGCCGCCGCCGGTCCACCCGCCGTCGGCCGCCGGAACGCGACCAGCCCACTCGTGGCTTTCGGCGCGTTGCATCAGCGGTGTCGGCGAGATGCATTGCTTGCGGTCGGCAGCGCGCTTGTGATGTGAGGTCATCGGGAGTATGAAGCGTTTTATTGGATTTGGGCTTATTGTTCCAACCTGGTGTGTGTCCTTCGGGGTTTATCGAAAAGCCCAGCTGTGCGAACAGACGTAGCGGAAGAGCTATACAGCGTTCCACACTGTGAAAAGGGGCTGCCAATGCCTCCTAGACCGAGTGAACTTTATTGATCGCATACCTCTCTCCATTCCCTCATGGGTAGACGGATTAACTGCGCCGCTTAACCATGGCGATGTAGTAGAACAAACGCAGTTACAAACTTCTGATTCTGTTGGGTGCGACCGGCTCCACAAAAGACGCTAGCTCAAAGGCGTGTTCCGGTTACGTGAAAGTGACGAAACGAGATGGGTCATACCAATCTGTAAAGTGACGTAGCCAGCCAAATCACATTGATAAACAATTGGTTCGCTCAAATTCGACACGCCAGGTGACAGCACGAATGCCCGGAAACATTAAGCAGAGCTTCTGGTGCCGCCCAGGGTCTCTACCACAGTGGTACCACCTCAGCCCTCGTTTTTCCGTTTGTTCGTTCGTTCGAATGAGAAGAACGCACTTAAACCACACGCTTCACAGTGAGGGTTTTCTCGAACAATAGCTCCAGCGAGCGCATAGGGAAACCAACCTAACCCGACCACAGGCTATATGTGGCTGGTGAGTAGGAAGTTCTTCGCGTTCACAATGGTTCGTTCCTGGACATCGATGTAATACGGCGTTAAATGTGTGAAAGCACGTACCGACGCTTATCGCCAGCTCCCCATCACGCTAAGGCCTAACGCCAGTACCCACTGGTTGCAAGGACGCAGCCAGTCCTTCGTTCTAGTCATCCCATCAGGCGATCATTCGTGGCCATCCACCTGGGCTACACCTGGACAACCGGCGCTTGACTCCTGTGCACGTGACGCTCAGTCTGTGCCTCGCAGCCGGCTCGCCTGCGGCTGTTGGTCTGCCGGCGGCGGCAGACGACAGGCGCCCGAAGGCGGCGGGCCTCCGCCAGCGGTTGGCCCGCTGCCAGCACGGTCTGCCGTGGCGGACCGGCTGCCCTGGCTGCGTCTGCCGCTGCCGCCCGGGGCCAGGCGGCGACCCCCGCTGATCCCAGCAACAGGCTGGCCTCGGCAGTCACTGCTGGACTGCCTGGAGGGGCAGGCTGCCTGTGTTGGCAGCGGAAGCGTGACGCCTCGTTGACACTGTTCGTCTGAAGCGGGGAGAGGCAGGGGGGGGGGGGGGTACTGGCGGACCGCGGACGGGAAACCTGGCCTGCTACGTCGAAGGGGACGAGATTGTCTGTCTCCTGTGGTCTTCGGGGACGAATGGGCGGCCTCAGGTGCTGTTTGACAAGTGGATGTCGGCGTCGGCACTTATCAGTACCGACGTTGTTTGACGCATCACCCCGATCAGGGGGATTGGCGGACGCCACTAGATTCGAGTGACGTCATCTACAGCAGTTACAGACGTGCTTCCCCAGCATGCGTACACAGAGCGGTACCTAGCAACTCAAGTTCTCGACAAATAAATCCGACATGTTTGACCACATGTCATTCCTGTGATCTTGCAGCGCATTTCCACCTGACATTACTCATCAAACGTCTAGCAAAAAAGGTTTCAGGTAGCAACAAACAGCATAAAACTGGCGTTTGCTGAATGTCCTGTGTCGTGAAAGGTGTTCTTTTCCCTGTGGCCGCAAGTACATTTGCAACATTTGCGTGCACGTGCGCGCAGTATGCACTCCAGAGCGCGCACAAATTATTCTGTCCATTCCCTGTCGCGCTTGCAAATAAAAATGCTGCACACTTACATTCCCAGTGTAATATTTCGCTTGTTTGTTATCATTATGCCTCTCTCCCCCACATGACACCGCACTGCAAATGTCACGTAAACAGCACACACGTAATCGATTTTGTCATCGGGTCGGAACTCGCCAACATCCAGAGCTGGCAGCCATGGCCGCTGGCTCATCGCCGCGACGCCGCCGTCGTCCTTCGTCCGCACCATCGGCGGTGTTGGTCGGAGGGTCACGCCGACGGCCCTGTCCGCGCGTAATGGGAGGGCGGGCGCGCGCGTGCCAAGCCGCCCCGAGCCGAACGCATCGAAGCGGCGCCAATTCAGCCGCCGGCTCATAAAGCAAACAGCGCCACTACCTCGAACCGGCGGTAGGTGCGCCGTCCCGCCGCACCTCCTGTCTGGGTCTGAGCCCGGCTCTGGCTCGGTGGCGGAGCGCCGACAGAGGCGTGGTGACCCTCCGGCCGTCCCTACCAGACCGTCCGCGGTACGCGCCTACTCCGAACGCGACCCGGCTCCACTGCCAGCGGCCGCGGTGCCAGCGCCGGCGTCAACTTCGCGGAAGGCGATGCGCCCGCCACCTGTCGGTCGCACGCGGAACTCCGAGGATCGGGAAGGAGGGTGGGCTTTGCCCAGTTTCTTTGTCCTGTAAATTATGGAGAACGGAATCATGGCTAGGAACCTGATGTCACCAAGTCTGTTGTTTTTCTCCGGCAACGTGTGAGCAAACCGAAAAGGACCGGAGCATTACCTGTTGTGATGGCGCAGGACCTACAAAACTCCCCACAAGTCATGTTCAATAGCATTAACGTTTCATGCCTTCGGCACAATATAACTTTAGTAAAACCAGGCTAAAGTCAATGT